AGGTTGTAATCACACAGGTTATCACCACACAGATAAGTAGTATAGTAAAGGGTAAAGTAGTCAAGTTGCACTAAATTTCAAATCATTGTACAGTTGATACGGCTTGCTCTATGTTGACATGTAACTATGGTAAAATACTTGCTGACAGGTGTATAGAAATTATTTCCAAACTTTATCCTTGCTACAGATCACTGAGGGCAAATATTTAAATACCCAACAAAAATATTCGGAGTAATGACTATCCAAATTTAAATAATTGTAAACGATTATGTGGATACAAAAATACAAGTACAAACTGTACAACTGCAAACACATTACTATTAGCCCTTTCCATCTCTTAAATTTCCATCCAAAGGTTGCCTGGAAGCAATCGCTGCTTAACAATAAGACTTTCTGCCGTACACCAGCCTACTCTGGGACACCTATATACCGTTCCGCGTTAACATTGTACTTTTAATGCGCAGCAAACAACACTTCACTCATTCATTATTAAACAATCAAAAACAACTGTATTTTCACTTGGTTTCAAATTGATAACAGAGGTAAATTCACAGAAGTTGTATGTCAACAGGAAATTCAAATTTTACATTTACAATCTCTGCACGGTTGAGACAATGTGCATCTATTTATTTGGATCAATCGAGCACATGAAAACCACACATTATGTTTAGTAATAGAATGAATCAATCACAACTTCAAGTAAATAGTTCTCGTTTCACAACAATAAGGATTACTCGGCATAATTTGATAGGCCACAGCATGAAAACGTCTCACCGGGTTACAGCTAACGAATCACTAGACAAAGATGTTACGATATGACTTCCTTTATTTATTTCTTCATTCATTTACATTGCAAACGTACTGCTAAATAGCCTACACGCTTACATGTCATAAACAGATAATTATAAATATATTTAATTATGATATTACTATAACTATTCTAATTCAAAAAATGTACAAATTTCCCTACATATACATATATTTAACGCTATCAGCGAAAATGTTAATGTGCTCACACTGAGTGAATATGTTCCCGATCAAGCGTATAGCGCGAATGGTAGGCGTGTTTGTGGCATTTACCGTACGAATGACAGGCTTGCGTATGAGCCGCAGCCGGCACGGGGCCACCGTACCCTCATCAATCAATCAATCTGAGGGTCGTATTCTAGAACTCTACTCAATGCTCAAGTCAGGGTTTGTGTATGGTTTAAAGCACTTGATATCATACTCAAGTTCCTGCCATTAGGGTCGTATTTCCAGTGCTTGTGTTTCCAGTGCAATCCTGACTTGAGCATTGTATAGAGTTCTAGAATACAACCCTCAGATTGATTGATTGATGAGGGTGCGGTGGCCCCTTATGATGGAAAGCGGTCACCGTCACCTATGAACGCCTGCAACACCAGTGTCGTCACAAGCGCGTTGCCAACCCTTAAGGACCCTTCTCAAACCCCTTTTGAAGGACTCCATTCTGAATTCCTGTGGGAAAACCCCGACAGGGGGTTCATTCCACAACCTAATTGTACTTGGGAGAAAGCTCCTCTGAAACCGTACAGTACGAGATCGACTCGGTTTCAGGGTCGATTTTGTGTATGACGTAGCATAAGTTCACTAGTAGCATAAGTTCGACATTGTTCTCCTCCATAAAAACGTGACCTTAGAATTTGGTCGAAGCGATCATTCCTCGTAATTCTTCATATATAATGCTTGTTGCACATTTGTTTCGTGTGGATTATATTCTGGCAAGTGCAGTTCGTTTTGTCATGACGAGTTGCCGAGAGGATGAAATATACTTAGAACTTTAGGGTGCGTATAGACCTGGCGAATGCGCCGTGTACGCGCTGCATGTGCGCTGCAAGCTTGCTGCATGCTTGCAATTAAATACATGTTAATATGTGGCGCGCAAGAGGCACACGAACGGCACGCGAACAGATTGCACAACGTAATAGTTGTGTGCAGTTTGCGAGCACTTTGCAAACAGGCGCATTTGCGGAGCATTCGCCGGATATGTACGCACCCTTACAGTGACCAAATAAATGTGTATAATCGTCCTTACACTGTATCTTACATATGTATATTCGAGTTCGCAATGCTCTAGATAGGTGCCTACTAATTTCACAAAATATTACAGTTTGTGAACTTGTGTTTTGCTATAAATCAGTTTCGACTAAGCTTTTAAGTAACAATTATTTTATTTTCTGGGCTCGTAGTAAAAACTGTCAGGGTTAATGTTCACCTAGGTAATACTACAAAATAAACAATGAACATAATAAATACAATAACACTTATTCCATTGGAAAAAAATACTAACAAGATTTGTAATACTACTTTCCTAAGTTTGTTTCATAAACCTATATACTAAATCTATGGTTTCATATAATAAACAAACATGGAACTTCGTTTCCGTTTAAAAACAAATTTAATAAAGCGATGCCGTTTATTCCTTTTATACTTCGAGTATTTTGTGTGTTGAATGCTTATCTTACACGGTTTCTCTTTTTGATTCTTTCGTATATATGAAGGAAATACTAAGGCAAAGAAGCTGTTAAATTATTTTGTATTCCTTTCTACAAACTTAAGCAAAATCGGTTCGGCGCTCCGTAGCACAACATCTGATTTAAATCGAACGTCACATTCTCTAGTCACTGGATGAAGCTCGAAGTGCCGTAAAACGGCTGCTGCGCACGATTTCATTTCCAACATTGCGAATTTTTGACCTGATGACATAGTGTGAAAATAAGAGGAATGTAGCGACGCTACAGTACAGCGTGGTCGCAGGTCCTTTATCGGGCCGCAAGAATATTTCTTTGTGTTCGGTCTATATATTGATAAATAATTTAAAATAATACATTTGACAATTTACAACCAAACATCGGTCATTCCACGTCAAACTGAACAACTTAATTTTAATTGATGATACCCACTTTTTTAATTATGCAGGTGTGCAATCTACACCCGAATAGCAACTCAGTCGTGCAAAACTTCTTAAAAAAATAACATTTTATTTTCCGGAAATATGTCTTCTTTGTTGTATTTTTTACCGAAATATCTACGTTCGGTTTGACGTGATATGAGCGACATACAATACAAGCATTTCCTAAATACTATGAGAAAATTATCTTTAAAAACATGTAAAAATCATATTTACAATATTACCAAAATTATGGTCTCAGCCATATAATTGCATTATTTTTCTTTGGGAATTAAATAGAGTGATGCTTAGCGTTTTTTAAACCAGCTCGTTTTCTTTATTTTACTACAAAAAGTAGAGATATATCTGTGAGATACACAAACTTACCTATACAATTCCTAGGCCCGGCACTAAACGGTATATAAGCAAAGGGATGTCGTCCCACACAGTTTTCAGGCAAGAATCGGTCAGGATCGAATTTATGTGCATTTACATACAGATCCTCACGTCGATGTAGATCGTAACTTTGGATAATACATTCTGTTCCCGCTGGAACCGTGTAATTGCCTGAGAAGCAATGAAAGGTTTTGTAGTACATCTTCTTCAATTATTGTCAAACTACCCTTGACAGGATGCAAAATTAAAATTTATATGGAAACATACTCAGTTTCACAGTTTCGCTTAACGTTCTGGTAAGAAATGGCACGGGTGGGTACAACCGCAGCGTTTCCTTAATACAGCACTCTAGGTATCGCATAGCAGCTAGGTCTTCGATGCTGGCGGGACGTTCATTTTCACCGAATATCTTATTTAGCTCGGCTACTACTTTGTCCTGTAATAAATGCACAATGTGCTCACTCGTCGGTTCATTCTATTGCGATAGAAGCTGAATTCCTAAAGTCAGCGTTGAGCCTGTATTTTAATTACCTGTATATGTTTATTGTTTGCTATCGACAGCAGTAAGTATGTGAGTCCGCATGCTGTTGTGTCGTGGCCCTGTTAAATAAAAATATATAAAAAATTACGAGAACAAATGCAACAATTAAAGAACAGTTATAATTAACATTAGGTAATTATTAACACAGGTAATTACACTTGGTTCCTGCACGCATGTTTCTCTGTGAATTTATATTGTACCTCCTTACCTCAAACATAAAAGTATCAACTTCTTCTCGAATACCATCCTCGTTCAATAACCCATCGTTTTCTGCTAAAATAAGCAAGTCTAACATAGCTGTTTTCTTTTTCGTGGTAGTAACTGGTTCTCCTACATTGTAGTTACTTGCTCCATGCGTTTTAATATACCGTTTCCTTTTTCTTATAACTTTATTAGTAAAATTGTGAAGATTTGTTAAGTATTTTAGCTGTTGGCGGTAGATCGAGGTAAACGAAAATAGGAAGTCAGACATGAGGTATCCCGAAATCAACCTCTCAATCAATAGAAGTCCTATTTTGTAAACGGCTTCTTTGTACGATTTTCCTGTATTTGATGTCTCATCTAATGGAGTTCCCATTGCTGTTTCTAAAAAACAAACGGTATCTACTTAACGAAGTATTTATATCTTTAATATATTTAGAAAAAATCGGCTCACTGCTGCAGGGCTAGAATAGGGTAAAAACGTAGGCATTTCAGTAATTCAACATGATTGTAACAAATTTATTTGAACACGATATTACAAAAGTAACTTGTTTCCCTAAATTTATTTTAAAATCTTTTGGAGGTGTTCAGAATAAGCGATACTATCTCAATATCTAGCATTATATTGACATAGTATTACTTATTTTAAACGCCTACAAATGAACACATACAACTACACTTATTTAATAATTTTTAACTATAATTTTAATACAAAGATCGAACATAAAGAAAAAATCCTTTGACCCGACAGGACATGAACCTATGACCATGCTGTACCGCAGCATCGCTCTACCAACTGAGCTGCAGGTCGAGTTAGCAGGTCGACGAAATTCTTCTATGTGTCTGTTATAGATCTATGTATTGGGTTTTTCCGACTTTCAATGGCGTATGTGTAGTAGTAATTTTTTACTATATTTATTTTTGATTTGAATGCACGCTATGTGGAGCCTCTTAGATACCATAAACACTTACCACAAATTGTATGAAGTGTGTAATCAGAAAGTATTTGCATAATATTAACTGCTTTCTGATCCGTTAACTTCAGGCTTCTTCCTAGTCGTAGGTTGTTTTCTTCAAAAATTAAACAAAATTGTCGTAGAATGTTAAAATGGAATGTTGGAGTCAAAATTTTTCTGCGTTGCAACCATTTCTCACCTAAGCAAACAATAATAAGTAACTTTACTCAAGTTCCAAGACAAATGTCTCTTTTATTGTCTATTATTACTAGAGTAATTAAAAGAGGATGCAGGAAAACCGTAATTACTTAGTGTATTTATACAGAAATTTTACGCTATGAGATGCACTCATGTCGCCCTATATGTCGCTGAACAAAAACATCTTATAAATATGGGGTTACAAAGACATGAAATTCAAACCTGTATCAGACCGAAAATTCATAATGTTTTTAATTAGGTGCAATTAAATCGAAGTCATCTAAAAATTAAAAATGGTGTAATTCCTTGAGAATAGGTATCTATCAGAGTCCACGCATGGTTTTTTTTTTATCAATGAAATTAGTCATAGTTAACTAACCTTTGCTTAAAAGAAGTCCGTCGTTTAACCACGGTTTTAAAAATTTATATAAGATTCCTTTATCGGTATGTTTCATTGATGATACAACAATCTGTAAAATAAAATTTGACTTTAATGCCACTGGAAAGTATGATAATATCATCATCATCAACCCATTTATATGTTCCACTGCTGGACACGGGTCTCCTCTCAGGCGAGGGTTTAGGCCATAGTCCGCCGCTGCCCAATGCGGGTTGGGGACTTCATACATTTTTCTTGATGTTTCGTGATGTTTTTCTTCACCGTTCATGGTAAATTTCAAATTAAATTTCGCCCATACATTCCGAGAAACTCAGATGTGCGAGCCCAGTTTTAATATATGACATCATCTATCTTATTTTTGTGTCACTATCACTTGTTTCGTTGCTTTTTCACAATATAAAAGTTGCCTAAAAGTCATTTACCTGTACATTGGTATTGAAAATGCCGCTGTTGTTGAGAAGGATATCGATAATGCAAACATTATAAAGCATCTGATGATTATTACCATAATTTCTAGTTGAAATTCAAGTAAATCTCGTATAAAATATATATAATCAAAGCACACATGAAATCGTCACATTTGATTAAATTGTTACTGCGATCGTAGGCATAATTTGTTAATTATGCTTACGGTCACAGCATTATGTGTGTTATGGCTATTTTGTCTGTGACAACAAGTCTCCCTGATAATAAATACTCATAAAGATAAGTAGATTGACCTGAGTGCACTTTGTTACAACTTTACGACACGCACACAGATGCCCATAAATCTTTATTATCCTGTTCTTTGTTGTTTTGAACAACCTTCTTTTTTTCCTGCACTATTCTTAACACCTTTTCATTAGTTTTTCTATTTACCCAACTGATTCACCTTCATTCTTTTACAGCACCATATCTCAAATAATACTAACCCATCACTGTCGCTACCTCAGAAGTTCTAAAATACTCTTATGTGCATATTTTTTTAATAATAGATGAGTACTTTATTTAATACCTATATTTACATGGCATGCAATGCAGGTGTACTAACAAAATGTACCTATATGTCTATGTAACATATACCTCAATATCTTCAGGGTTGCAAACAAACACACTTCTTATAGGATAAGCCCAAAATCTATAAATTCCATCAAAAGTCGCTGCATATTTCCTTCCAAGTGCGAAAAGTTGCTCTGCAATTTTTTAAATATTATTTAAAAAAAAATATAAATGGTATATATTTTTGGCCATAAATAAATAAATTATCACACGTTATAAGATACTGTTACAATTTTTTTATCATGTGGTATATTTCGTGCGAAATAAGTCTGAATTTATATAAATACCTGGAGAAAGCGATAGGATTTCCATCATATTGCCAATGATAAAGTTGTCCTTTGGACCGGGAATTTTTCGAATCAATCGGGCTTGCTCATTGTAGTTCAAAAACAAATGTAGGATACACAAAAATATAAGAACAAATAGAAAATACAGTACTAGCATGTTATCTGACTGTAGGTCTCACTTGAACTACGTACACATATATAATAGTCAATTATCTCTCAGAGTGATTTTCCCAGTCACGATTTTTGTCTCGCATGTCGTCTTAGAGGATGGAAAAAAACGTGAGAGTCAGAATGGCGGGTGTACCTTAACGAATCCTGAGAAATTTGGTATCAAAAAAATGTACCTAATTTGTACTATTTAGTACCTCTGTTTAAAAAATTTGTACCTCCATCAGAACGAAGTTATGGCAATATCAAAAGTATACCCGCCGTATTGACTGTCAATATCTCGGGTGTACCTCGGATTACCAGTATTTATTTAATAACTACAAAAACTTCTTATTCCAAAAATTTGTACCAGGGTCAATAACCTGTGACTCGGACTTGTTTTCATAAGTACAAAAATATGGAGCAATATTTTGAAAAATTACTGCCATACTTGCCTTCTCAGTAAATAACTACTATCTATATTTAAATGAATTATTAATTTAACAGTCTAAACCAACGTCGTACCCAGAACAAGCAACCGCGCAAAGTTCCTAATTTTCATGAACTACTTTAAATGCCTACTAGCAAATACTACAAGCGTTGGACAAGTTTCCAATTCTTAGCTCCCGCTCCTTTTAATGCACGCTAACACACAGTGCGATCAGGGGGTCTACTTTCGATCTCCGTCCGACATCCGTCCGAAACAATTACTGCCAAATACTTGACCAAATGAAAAGACGCGTGATGCGAATGAAGCTTTATACTGGATACTTGTCTTTTACTTTTGTCGAATATTACTTATTTGACAGTAATTGTTTCGGACGGATGTCGGACGGAGATCGAGAGTAGCCCCCCCCCCAGAAGTGCGGAGATTGTGTTACATACTATACTTGGTGGCGATGGGCAACAACTGTGAAATTTTGATGATTATAATTATTACTTAATGAGGATAGAAATAAGGTTGTAATCAAAGCTCTGTGCATTTTCAATATAGAATTTGGTTAGGTACTTTTTTAATATATTATAGTTGATAATGCCCTACTTTGAATAGTATGTTTTCTATAATATTTTTTGACATTTTCCTAATTACGGTAGCGTAATTTTGGTGGTTCTGGTGGTTTATTTGGGACAAATGTAAATATTTAATATTCAATTTAGCCATTTGCTTAGACCTGCTGCTGATAACAGATCCACACAGATACTCGTTAGATCTCGGCTTCGCTGGGAACGTCCTATCACTCTGCGATTAAAACTGTGTCGACATACTCTCCTCAATTGACTATC